TATTGGGGAAAATAAAATACTTTTTGTGTTTCAGGATCTGGATTTGAATATCAGTGACCAGTCAACAGTTTCTGTCTCCCAGCATGGCTGTGTTCTTGCTGAAGATGCAGAAACTCCCTGAGTGACTAAACTAGGTTGATTCTTTTGACTAGCAGTTCCTGGCAAATCTACTAAGGGAAGGCAGACATGGAAGGGAATAACAAAAGGCCCCTGCTCAGGAGAATCTCTCCACCTTGAACCCCAATCTGGGGGAAAAAAATGTAGTAACTGGTTTCTCTCAAAAATGCAGGTATCCCTTGCAGTAGTTCAGCTATGGGTCATTCCAGCTTCACCGTGAGCCACTTTAATCACGCTGTCAAAGTCACACCTGGCTGAGAGCAGAACCAATCCATGAAAGAAGCTTCTTCTGAAGGGAAAGGAAACCAGGACTTCCGGAGCATGGAGCAGGCTTAGGAATGGGGGGCTGGTGTCAGCTGCTCTGGGAGGTTTTGTCAAGTCAGAAGTGTAGGGCAGAGAGAGAAGAGGGCTGGTGTGGGAAGAATTCTGAATGAAGATGGAGGGGCGAAGCCGAGCTCGGTGGCTCAGCCTGTAACCCCGCACCTTTGGGAGGCTGAGGTGAGTGGATTGCCTGAGCCTGCGGGTTCGAGACCCGCCTGGGCAGCGAGACCTCACCTCTACAATAAATCAAAAAATCAGCCGGGCGTGGTAGCGCGTGCCTGTAATTCCGGCTACTCGGAAGGCTGAGGCGGAAGGATCGCCGGGCCCAGCAGGTTGAGGCTGCGGTGGCCGGGAGCGGCCGCTGCACTCCAGTCTGGGCGACAGAGTGAGACTCCAACTCAAAAAAAAGAAAAGAAAATGGAGGGGCGAGTGCCAATTTGCCTAGGGCCCTTGGCTCTGTGTCTGTCTGTGCCCTGCATTGCTCCAGAGGCTACATAAGTCATGGTGACCAAGACTCATGTTTTCTCCAATAATAAAAAGGTGTCACCTGTTGCCAATCCAATTTAGTCTCTTAAGGTTAGTACACTAGGGGAAGAGGAGGGAAAAAAGAAACACAGAAACACACATACACACACACACACACACACACACACACACACACACACACACATGAAGAAAGAGATGTGGGGGCGGGGAGGGAGAGAGACTCCAGTTCCCTCGTATCTTCCCAGCACCCTGCCACTAGTTAAAATGGCCAAACACTTTGATTTTCCTAGAACTTACTCTGTTTTTTCTCCCCATTTGGTTTACCCATCCTGTATCTTGAGTATTTGTGTATTTTCCTAGATGTGGGGACTAGTGGTTGACCGGCCTAACAACTGTACCTCTGAAACAAATAAGCTCAGATTCATGGTGTTTGCTAACTTCTGTGGTGTAAATACCCCCACTATGGCCCATTTTGAGCTACCAAAGACATCACCAACATGGAGTCAGGAAGGGATGCAAACAGTCAGTTCTCCCTGGTTCCAGCTCACTGTAAACCCCCGAATCTGACACAGTCTCACGATGCTAAAGTATCTCTCTATCCTTTCCCTCTTTAATTCTTCACATCAGTGATGCTTTAACAGTACTGGCTTCCTAGGAAATGGTTTTCAAAGGGCAGTACACTAAGGCCAGTTAGTGTCACTCTATGAATGATAGAAACACACTGACTCAACAGACTATTAATATGATGAAATTGAACTTCTCAATAAAATTAATTGAAGTACTTCTGCATCTGCCTCAAGCCTTCAACTCTGACTTTTGCATTTCTCTCCAACTCTCAAACTTACATAGTATCTGGTGCACAGCAGGAGAGAGGGAAGAAAGAAAAAGGGGGAAAGAAAGATGTAAGAACAAGTTATTTCAAAGAAAAGATCAATAATTAATACAGTGAGCAAAAGATAGAGAAGTACCCAGGTAGACAGGACAATAGCAAGATCTTGTCCTTTGATTCTCACATTAACTGGGAGGAATAAAGATTGCTACTCTTTGATAGAAATCTTTTGTAAGTCCACTGCTATGAAACAATCTCTTGAAAAGATTTCCTTAATATTTTTAGAATAAGCAGAAGCCAGCTAAAATCTCCCTAGGACAAGGTAATCACGCTTCATGCTGACAAAATACAATATGTTGAACATGCCCAATTACAGAGAAGCACTGGAATGTCAAATAGAAAAAAAAAATAGCCTGTGACAGTTCCACAGTCACAGTAGGAAGCACAGCTCATTTAACCCAAGAAGATAAAAATGAGTGTCTTCTGGAGTGGTCTTCCTCTTCTACAAGATCATTTCAATTAATTTAACCATGAACAATATTCTTTTAAAATTACTTGAAATGTTTTATTTTACATATCAGGAGGCTATTTCACAGCCCATTTCTGAAAGTGGATTAGGGCTGTGTGCTTCAGCCTAGGAGATAGAATTCCTTTACATCAATGTCCTGGTCTCATGAATCCCTGTCTCCCAAGCACAGTTAGAGACAGTATCTGATACATCGGGGACAACCAGCATGGGTTCAATTCACTCCACTCCTCGAAAGACTCCAGCTTCCTAAAAAACACTGTCCAAAAACCTTAGCAGAGCACTCCAGACATTTCAAAATAGAACTCCAAATGCCCATATGTGCCCCATCAGGGACCTCACAAGAGGCAGCTGAGCCATCAGTATTAGGGCAGCAAGCTAGCTCCCAAGCTATAAGGAGGAAGATCCAGACACCTGAGAGAGGAAGGAACCCCAGATCTGATGGTCAAAAAAGAGGGTGGAAGGGGGGCCGTGGAACCCAGGGTTCAGAACTGGGAGATAAAATCAAGAGAAAGCAGATGGAGTCAAACAGGAGGAGCATCCTGAGAGGCTGCCAGGAACATTGTTGAGTGATTGAGGCTCATTGATGAAGGCTACAAGAGGGACCATGGAGGGGGTGGGGGGAGGGGCTATTGGGCTTGTTTAGTGAAAGGGCTGCAGATGGAGAGATGGAAACCTAGTCACCAGCATCATCTACAAGAGGATGCCCGGCTGGGTCATGCTATTTCGTCCCTCCATGCCTCTGTAGATGCAATTCTCTCTACCCAGAATGTTATTCCTACTTTTTTACCTAATAAACTCCCACTCTTCCAACAATGCCCAGTGCTCGAGAGCCCCCTTTCTCTGTGATGATTTTCCCTTCATCATCATCTCATTTGCATCACTTGTACATACCTCATCCCTGGTACCCAACAAACACAATATTTGGCACACAGTGGGTGCTTAATAAATGTTGAGTGAATGACAAACTAAGGAAAGTTTATATTGAGTTCAACAGTCTCATCTTGTGAAGAACCTCTTGATACTGGCAGTAGTTTTAAAAATGATGCCAAGCTGGGTTCGGTGGCTCAGCCTGTAATTCCAGCACTTTGGGAGGCCAAGGCAAGTGGATTGCCTGAGCCTGCGGGTTTGGGATCAGCCCGGGCAACTTGGCGAGACCTCGTCTCTACAGTAAATCAAAAAGTTAGCCAGGTATCGTAGCACGTGTCTGTAGTTTTGGCTACTCGGAAGGCTGAGGCAGAAAGATCACCAGAGCCCAACAGGCCGACGCTGGGGTGGCCATGAGCATGCCACTGCACTCCAGCGTGAGCAACACAATGAGACTCCAACTCAAAAAAAAAAATGATGTCAGTCTTGGGTGGAGTGGCTCATGCTAGTAATTTCAGCACTTTGGGAAGGTGAGGTGGGAGGATCATTTGAGGCCTGGAGTTCAAGGCTGCAGTGAGCTATGATCATACCACTACACTCCTGCCTGAGTGTCAGAGAAAGACACTTATTTAAAAAAAAAAAAAAGACACCAAAGGGCCATAAGAGGTCCTTGGCTTCCCCCCCACTCCAAGTCATGTAAGAATTAGTTCCTATAGCTAGATGCCATCATTGTCCTATATTCCTAAAACAGTAAGAGGAAATAAAATATTTTCAACTGCAAAAGGAATGAAATTTAACAGCAGCAGATTTCTGACAGCAGATTCAAAGGCTTAAAAACTGATATTCAAACAATGATAATGGTGCTTAGTCAGTGAAACATCTGAAAAACACCAGCGAATCTACTGCCTACTGGAAGGAGCGGTCTTCTAGAACTTGTGTGCTGAAGATCAGACTTAACGGATAGATTCCCAGGCCCACCTCAAAGTTTCTGATACAATATATTTGGGTAACAGCATCCATATTTTTCAAAAAAACTCCCCCGTGTGATTCTATCAGTGAAGAGATTTAGAAACCACAGGATGGTTGGTTCTAAGCTCCCAATGGTGTGATTTGTGGCATATGTAACTGAACGTTACTGGGGAAAGGGGGCTGCTATCAGAGATAGTCTTCATAAATAATAGTTAAGTCTTCTATGTACTTACATGGATATCTCACTCAATCCTCCCAACAAGCATATAAAGGTTGGGGCTAGTATTGGTCCCATTGTACAGATACAGAAACTGAAGCTTAAAGAGGTTCAGTAACTTATCCAGCAACTAAGTGACAGAGGTGGGATTCAAACTCCTAGCAGCCCTAGAGGCTGTGTTCTCCAGCATTGTGCAACTCTGCTTCTTTGCTGAAGTGTATGGGCAGAAAGCAACATTTTGTGACCAGAACATTTGAAGTTGTTTCCATCTTATTACCTCTGGGCCGTTTTATCCTCTAGTTCCTGGGAATGGCTTGTTCTGATAAATCTCGGGCATTCCTGTATCTCTCTGTCTCACTGTGTTTTGTTCATCTTTGCACCCCTCATCTACAGCACAATGCTTGGCCCATGATGTATACTCAATAAATATTTGATAAATTTAAAGCAACAATTTTATTCCACAATTGTGATAAATACTATGTGGCCAAAGCCAAGAACTCCACTTAATCAAAGTTCTTAGCACTGACTGCCCATGCTGAGGTTGACTGAAAAATGCAATTTTGCTATCCAAAGGGAGGACATAGTCAGGAGCTTAATATACCCATGTTAAATGAGCATTCAAGGAAAGCACACACGTTCTGCCTTATGTGGCCTTGTCTCGAACAAACCTGGAAGGATCTGGGGTCCCAGTGAAGTAGTGAATGCACGGCGAGCTTCTATCCTGAGGCAGGACAGACACTATACTGGCTGTGGTAAGGAAAGAGTCAGTGTCTACACAGACTCCACTGACTTTGTCCCGTAAGATGCTAATCATAGTCTGCACGGTGATGCTTTCTGTAAAAAAAAAAAAAAAAATAGGAATAAAAAAGAGAGAGATGGAAAGAGGAGATATAACTGCAGCAGGCTACTAAAAAGAATCCATTCACTCCTTTTCTTTTTAATAATAAGACCCCTGAAATTATACTTGGGAATGTAACTATCCAACTACAGAATTTATTTCCCTGCTTCCTTTGTGAGTAGGTGTGGTCATTTGATACATTTTGACCAATGAGAGGTGAGCAGAAATGATGCATGCAATTTCCTTGTCACATCAATAAAAAGGAATACTCATTCTGCACTTTTCTTTTCTCCCTGCCTGCTGGCTTGGAGATGCCAACAAATGGACCACAAATGGAAATCCTGTGTTGAGACAGAGTGGCCAACCCTAGAATCGTCCCTATATATCTGGACTATAATGTAGGAGCTAAATCATCTTCCATTTTCTTTAAGACACATTAATTTGAGGTCCCTTTACTATAAAGCACTTAGCTATACCTCAACCAGTGCAAAACCTCAGTAGGTAGTCATAAGAAAGTTATGAGTAATCTACGCACGGTCTATCAAGCTCTCTCCCATGTGCTTTGGCTGGTCAGGGTCAAGACTCTTTGAGAATGGCCTCTCTGCAGTGGGAAATATATACCCAGGGAGGCAATCAGATACTCAGAACCATTAGGACTATTGGCTTTCACTGCAGATAAATGGATGAGCAAATCTTTGATCTGGATCCCATTTCTACAGTTTCCTCAGTGATTATAATTCATTAAAACACTATTTCGGTCTGTGTCCACAAAGATGGAATCAAAGCATTACATAAGGAGGAGGTTTGTTAGCACAACCCTCATCCTCTTTGTAAATCTCTATTTACATTTCTTCAGCTAGCCAGTGTTGAAATTTCCTTACTGTCTCATATGAGTTTATTGATTTGAATCAGAGTTCAATAGGTTGGCAGTGCTCTTAAATCCTTTTAATCTTTGCATCTTATGACCCAGAGAAATTGGGTCATTTTTCCTGAAGAGTTTCCCAGTCCGGGCTTAGCAGATGGCATCCCTATGGTGTTATTTAATATGTTGCTCCATCCTTTGTATTTCCTGTAAACTAGTAGCTAGATCCAAAGGTTTCATCAGATTTAGGGCTGATGTTTTAGAAAGACTATTTAATAACTTTCAACAAGCTAGTCTTTTTCATTAAAAACTTTTAGAGTTTTTTTTAAGTTTCCATTTAAAAATGAATGCTTTATCTTCCTATCCAGAATATATTACTTAAATATTTATTATAGTAAAAGTCCTACAGTGTTCTTCTAGATTAAGAATCAAGAAAGTTTTTCTTAAAGAACCAGAGAGCAAATATTTTAGTCTATGGGCCATTCAATTGCAGGCAAAACTTCCCCCCTGCAACTGTTCAACTCTGCCTTTACAGCATGAAGGTAGCCCTGCACAATACATGAATCGATGGGTATAACTGTGTTCTAATATAATTTTAATGCAAAACAGGCAGCTGCCATCAGGTCATAGTTTGCTGACCCTTGTCTGAAATGATCAAACATTTGACTTATAAAATCTATGTATCACTAGCAAAAAATGTGGCCATCGTGGATTTTTGGAAGGATTTCCACACAGGCACAAAAGTAAAAAATTATCCCACCACCACATTTACCTAAATATGGATTCTGATTGAGTCAGTGAGGGAGTAACAGCTAGAGCTTATGAAAAGAATTCAGTTCAGCCGGGCTCAGTGGCTCAGCCTGTAATCCCGCGCTTTGGGAGGCCAAGGTGAGTGAATTGCCTGAGCCCGCAGGTTCGAGACCCACCTGGGCAACTTGGCGAGACCTCATCTCTACAAGAAATCAAAAAAATTAGCTGGGCGTGGTAGCGCGCGCCTGTAGTTCCAGCTACTTGGAAGGCTGGCAGAAGGATCGCCGGAGCCCAGCAGGTCAAGGCTGCGGTGGCCAGGAGTGTGCCATTGCACTCCAGTCTGGGAGACACAGCGAGACTCCAACTCAAAAAAAAAAATTCAGTTCAACAACTCAACTACACAAACATCCATGGAACAAAGGACTATACAGACACCACAAGGGGACCCTAAGATGAGTAAGAGACAACACCTCTGCCCTCAAGGAGTAGCAGGCTAATGGGGTGGGGTAAGAGGAAAATACAAGGGGAAGATATGTCAAATACATAAATACTGAGGTATAAGGGAAGCTGCAATAAATATCACAAAAGACAACATGATGACATCAGTGTTTAAAGGAGAACAACATTAGTAGAAGCAGGAGCAGAAAACCTCCATGGATGAGGAAGCACTATGTAAAAATAAGTACAAGCTGTCTTCTTGCTGCACATCAGGACTTTTGACACAAGTTGGTCTTTATATACAAGGTTTAGTCTCCACACTTCCTCTTTGTCCACCCTCCCAAGTTCAGACATGTTCTCTGATTTAGTTGCAAGACAAGGGCATGAGAAAGAGAACGGTGAGGGACAGACTAACTCACCTTCTTGTTTCTCCAAGCTGTCTTTGCCTGCACAGCAGCCTAGATAAACATCAGCAGGAGAAAAAACTTCAGAAAAATTGAACTCCTCCTCTCCTGTCCACCAACCTTGACTCTGAGCATAACTTCTCAGTTCAGGATGCTCTGCATCCATCTTAGTGGTGAGTGACAGCTGATTGCAAATGCACTTCATTCCCTCTGCAGAAAGAAAGACCAGTTAGTTGAAAATACAAGGAATATAGCTGGGCTCGGTGACTCAGCCTGTAATCCCGCTCCTTGGGAGGCTGAGGTGAGTGGATTGCCTTAGCCCACGGGTTTGAGACCCACCTGGGCAACTTGGCGAGACCTCATCTCTACAATAAATCAAAAAATTAGCCGGATGTGGTAGTGCGCGCCTGTAGTTCCAGCTACTTGGAAGGCTGAGGCAGAAGGATCGCCGGAGCCCGGCAGGTCGAGGCTGCAGTGGCCGGGAGCGGCCACTGCACTCCAGTCTGGGCGACAGAGTGAGACTCCAACTCAAAAAAATAAAATAAAATAAAAATAAAAATAATTTTTATAAAATGAAAATACAAGGAATTAATCAAGAAATGGAAATGTTTAAGGAATCTTTTCCCCTAAATCTCTGACTTTTAACTGTAGGGAGAAATCAATTTAAATTTTAAGGAGAAAAACAGACAATCCTAGGTTGTTTTCTTTATAGGAGACATAAAAGGTTTGACCTGTCTTTTTTTTTTTTTCCAGAGACAGGATCTTGCTCTGTTTCCCATGCTGGAGTACAGTGGCACAATCCTAGCTCACTGTAGCCTCAAACTCTTGGGCTCAAGCAAATCAACTGTCTCAGTCTCCCAAGCAGCTGGGACTATAGATATGTGCTACCATAACTGGCTAATATATCTAACTTCATATATATATATATATATATATATATTTTTTTTTTAATGGGGTTTGCTATGGTGCTTAGGCTGGTCTCAAACTCCTGGCCTCTCAACCAATTCTCCCACTTCGCCTCCCAAAGTGCTGGGATTACAGATATGAGCCACCCTGCTTGGTCAATTTAACCAGTCTTGCCCAGGCATTTACCACATTTTAAATGAGCAACAGTCACTTTACTGATCTTAAATTCACAATCAAAAGAAAATATGGAAAGCTCTTCATCATAGCTAAATGAATTCCAGGCATTCATTACTTACAAAATAAAGTGAAGGTTCTTTGAAAGAAATACAGAGCTAACTAGACTTAGAAAGCTATAGGAGATTCCTTTGGACATGTTCTTTCTCTACAGCAGCGCTCTATCTCATCTATGGAGATACCTCCTCCCCTAGCTAAGTCTTTTTCAGTTGAAAAAAACACTTTAAACCACCATCCCCTACCCAAATATAAGTGTTTTTTGAAAAAATAAAAATCAATACTTCTTCATTCAACTTTTGATTTAAAGTCAACATTTAGAAGAATATAGTAGCAATGATAATAAAGCATTTTAAAATAATGGAATGTGTTCATGAATATATAGTATGCATGTATGTCCAGGGGGAGTGTATATGTGTGTGTGTGAAAGAAAGAGAGAGAGGGAGGGAGGGACAGAAAGACAGAGGAAAAAAAAAATCTATGAGAATTTTTTCTCATAAAATTAGAAATGTAAGCCGGGCTCGGTGGCTCGGCCTGTAATCCCGCGCCTTTGGGAGGCTGAGGTGAGTGGATAGCCTGAG